CCATGGTAATTTTTTAACAGCTAACATATTTCCGTGCAACATGCCAGGCCCTGGGCCAAGCACTTACCTGCATTATCTCATTTACTCTTTGCAAAAATCCTAGAAGACAGGTGTTTCTGCCCATCCTGTGCTGGGTAAGTGGGAAGGCACCTGCCTAAGATGTGCACTGGGCGGGGAATCTGAACCCGAACCCCGGTCTGCATCGGTCCTTTCTCTTTGGACCTGATTCTTTTACAGTCAGGTGAAGAGGTGGGCCTGCCTGATTCTAACCTCCCTCCCAGTTATAGAAAGGAAAAGAATGCTCAATAAATTTGCTCCTTGCCCATGCTCCAGCTAAGGCTGGCACCAGATGCTGAGGGCTTGGACACTCTCAACCCCTCACCCAGAATCCAGAGGCAGAGCTTAATGACAGCCAAGGCTGCCTGCCTGTCACTTCTTCTGGTCCCTTAGGACACTGCTGTCCAGCCACCTGCCTGGCCGTCCACTGAGGCCCACACCCCTGGGAGCTCCAGGTCACTTCTCCGGGGCAACCTCTGCCTGCCTGAAAGGTGTCTCTTCTCCACCTTGTACCACCCACTCCTGCTTCTAGAAGCTTGGAGACAAGAGGTCACTCAGCTTCAGCTCCTGGGCCCCTGCATCCCCTCCAAACTCTAACGTCCACCACACATGCTCACTGAGAGAGTATGTCGCCCTGTCCAGCCCAGCTCAGTCTCCAGCATGCGGTGGGTCCATCCTCCCTGAATCCTCCTTACCAACCTATCTTACAAACACAAGAACCACAGCTCGAAATGGCCACAGTGAACACCAAGACCACACATCCTGTTATGGTTTGGATCTTATGGCCCCTAAAGGCTCATGTATTGAAAGCTTGGGCCCAGCTGATGGTGCTATTGGAAAATGGTAGAACATTCAGGAGGTGGGGACCAGCGGAAGGAAGCTGGATCACTGAGATCACTGAGGGTGTGCCTTCATGCGCTCTCCCCCGCCCACAACTTTCCCAGCCACCACTGTGGTGCAAATGCAATTCCACCATGATATTCCACCTTGCCATGGCCCAAAAGCAACAGGACCAACAACCATGGACTGAAACCTCTGAAGTCACAGTCAAAACAAACTTCTTTTCCTCCCAGTTGTTTAACTCGGGTGCTTTGCTACAGTGACAGAGGGCTAACACACACTCCCAAGAGGCCAAGCCAGGATTCAGAGCCTAGAATGTCTGGCCAAGGCTCATGTTCTTGTCATGCACCAGGTACCTCCTTAAATGTTGTTTCCTCTTTGCAAGATCCAGGACAAAACTCATATCTTCTCCATGAGATCTCTTCTTCATGTTCAAGGTGGGGGTGGACATCTGGATATTTCCAGTGTCCCTTTGCTGTGAGACCAGGGGGCCCCACATGGCTGTGAACTCAGAACTGGCTAATTGCTATAGCCAGGGCCTGCTAGATGGGACAAGGCAGAGTGGAGGGGAGATGCAATGACCCACAGGAGAGACTATAGGAATCCTGGCATCTCTCCTTGCTAACATAACTCCAACAGGACTTTCCAAGAGTCCCAGCAGAAAGAGACTGCAGGCAGTGAGGCACTCACACTCCAGGAGGCTCCTACAATATGGTACCAAATCTCAGACGGGAGACGATGAAGACAAAGAGACAACTGCACCCCAAAGGTACAACAGCCTCCTTCCCTGGAGCCCCAGCTGGGGCAGTGCAGCCCAGGAGAGGCCACTGAGAATGTGCCCCACTCCCAGCCCTTCCACAAAGACGTGGCAGAGGATCTCCATAGAGCCAAGTACGGGCATGTGGCAGCAGCAGGGACTTCTACTAACCACCTGCAATCCTCAGTCCAACTGCATGTACTTTTACGAGCCCGAAGCACAGGCACAGGATCTTGAGTCCCCTGGACTCCAAGCTGGTCTGCACACCCACCATGGCTTTCTTTCCTGTGTCCCTTTCACAAGACACAGAGCCAGATGCCCTGCTCTAAGTTTATGTCTTCATTCTTCAGGAAAAAAAAAAACAACCATGAGATCTAGAAACAGGAAGTGACATGCCCAAGACCCCACAGGGGATCTGGAGCAGGAACTGGGATAGAATCGGTCTCCTGGCTCCCAGTCCTGCCTTCTTGATGCAATGCTTCCCACAATGGCCCACTTGGTTTCTCGGTGGCCTCCCCTTCAGCTGCCCCCAAGTTTCCCCAGACTACGTGCCCAACTCTGGGGCTGCTCTGGGTGAAGCAGAATCCATAGCGACAATGAGGAGCGACTGTCACAGTCCCCACAGCCTATACAGCCCGTGTGGTGGGGAGTGGCCCCAGAGCTCAGAGGTCCAGAGCGACGTGGGGTCCGGTTATCTTTGGACAGCAGGCAATAGGGAGCTGATTCCGTGAGTTGCACATTCAATAATTTCCTCATTTGTCTTGTCAACATCCTTGTCCCATAGAGTGTCAAGTCCATTACATAAAGATTTCCTGTTAGAAAAATACTTAAGTGTTGACTCCAGGAAGCAACAGGGGTAAGGTGAGAACCTCAGAGCTTCGGCATTCAGGGAACAGGACAAAGTTATGTCTTTAACAGAGAAAACTCATTGCCACCGGCCCCACACAGGAGTGGTCAGCTGGTACCTGGCAATGGGGAAGGAATGGGACCCCGGGCATCCCCACCATAGCACACCTATGCCATCAGTGTCTCATCTGACGTCTGAGTCCCAGGACACTGTCTCAAACAAACCAATTCAAAACTAACCGGGAAATGTGACAATCCAGATGCTAGTCGGAAGGGACCACCGTCAGGCCATCATTTAGCCCAGCTTTGAAGGGTGGGCAAGAGTCACTATGAGGCTGCTCCAGCACACTGCTTCTGCTAGGATCCCCCAAGCTGGGGCAGAGGTCGACAATGGGAGCCGAGAGCAGGGTGCGGAATGTAACTGATCAGCTTTGAGGTCTCCACTCCACTCTCTAACACCCACCACGCCGCCAGAATCCAAGGCCGTGTCCAATGGGCCAGCACAGGTTGGATCTGGCATGTGTCCCGAGGCCTGTGTGTCCAGCCTGGCACTACTGGGAGGATGTGGAAACTTTAAGAAGTAGGCTCAGTGGGGAGGTCCTGAGGTCAGTGCCCTGGAAAGGGACTATGAGGAGCCAGTCTCTTCCCTTCCTCTGTTTCACTTCCTAGCCAGTTTTGCTCCGCCACAAGCTCCCACCATGATGTGCCAGCAACAGGGCCAACTGATCATAGAAAGAAGTCTCTAAAACTAGGCCAAAGTAAACCTTTCCTCTTTACTATAAGTTAATTATCTTAGGTATTTGTTATAGTAACGGGGAGCTGACTAACACACCGGCCAGTGCCTCTCTCTTCACATGAGGCCAGCATTTCTGCTACCAGGAACACACATACCAACCCTGTCTCTAACACCCACGGCAGGCATTCCCCACGGGGGGATGGGAGTCCCTTCAAAGGAGTGAAAATCGGTTCTTGGGTAGGAAAAAAAAAGTAGATATTACAGTGGTTTGTGCTGTTCTAAAACTCGACTTTTTGTGACAAGCTTTTATTTCTTGGCCTTTAATCTCTCTAGTTAGGGTAAATTAATTTTTCTCATGGGGCGATAGTGAAGAAATGGTTGACAAACACTGTCATGGAGAATTCTTGATTTGCAAGGTTCAGAGTCTCACCAGAAAGTCTCCTGACTCATAGTTTATAGCAGTGATTCTCAACTGGCTCCGCAGGGGACATTTGGCCAGGTCTGGGGACACTTTTGGTTGTCACGACTTGAGGATATGTTAATACATCTAATGGACAGAGACCAGGGATGATACTAAACCTCCTACCACACACAGGGTGGTTCTCCTGGAAGAAAGAGCTACCCAGGCCAACGTGTAGGCAGAAGCAGGGCAGCTGGCCCTGAGCCCAGGGTCTCCCTAATGCAGGGAGAGCAAAGCCAAGAAAAAAGGACCACAAAGCTTATTTGCCTTCTACGCATTGACCCAGCAAGCAAAGCCAGAGGCCAGCTTGATTTCTCCTGCTCTCCAGGGGAGGCCAGGATGGGGAATGGCTGGGACTGGGGAGTCCTCCCTGGGGTGCCTTCCTCGGTGGTTCAAAAGCCAAGGGAGAGGGGCCGGGGATGTAGCTCCTTGGTTCTGCAGCCTGCCTCGAAAGCACAAGGTCCCAAGTTCGTTCCCCAATACCAAAGAAACAAACAAACAAAAGCCAAGGGAGGACCCAGAGCACACCAGAGAGTGATAAGCAAACACTAGTAATCTAGACAAGTCTCCCTTAACCAAAATGCTTAGGGCAAGAAGTGCTTTAGATTTCGAATTTGCTGGGCGGTGGATTCTGGAATATTTGTATATCCATAATGAGACATCTTGGGGGTAGAAACCAGACGCAAAATGCAATTGCTTTGTATGCACCTGATATACTGGTAAATTTACACAATACTTTTAGTGCGTGGCATCCATCACATGAGGTCAGGTGTAGGATGTTCCACTGTAACAGGACATCAGCACTCAAAACGGTTTGGATTTTGGAACATTTTGGATTTGGGCTCTTTGGACTAAAGATGCTCAACCTATACCAAAAACCATAGCTATGTTTCCCAAAATCTCCCACAAAGCTTTCAGCACATCATGTACTTTATAGCTCACAACAATCCAACTGCTACTGTCCCCACTTCACAGCAGAGGACACTGAGGCACGGAGAGGATAAAACTAAGCAAATGGACCAAGGAGAAGAGCTCCAAAGAAGAGGAACTGGGAAGGAACAAGGGCGACATCGAGTTTCAGGTTCAAGACTGTGACAGCCATCACGCTAAGAAGACCCTCCAATGCTTTGCTCCAGACAACCACCAAGGAGGAGGTGACACAGTGTCCTTTACAGGCCAGGCCCCAAGGCCCAGAAACACTAAGGGACAAGCTGATGGGGAGCACAGTCAACAGCAGCGCAGGGCTACATGAGCCACGCCACCAGGACAAGAGACCAGGCTGCAACCCAGCGAGAGCCACTTACCTGAGAAGATTGAAGCAAGCCTGAAGATGTCTGAGAGGCGCGAGGTCACGGGCTCATAGGGGGAGGCTTCGTAGAACTCCTCACCTGGAAGAGAGGCAGGCGTCAGACACAGCTCCCTGCCCACAGCACTTTCAGTCTGGAAAGATCCGCCACGAGTGCTTGCACCAGCAGGGAGGACAAGCTGGTCACCAAGTGCAAAGCACCTCCCAGGAAAATCAGCAATGAAACCGAGCCTTGCACATGGCCAAGTCACTTCCCTCCGACTGACACAGACCCTCCCCCCACCCCGAGCAGGTGCTACTGCCTGGTTCTCTCTCATCACCTCCCTGCACAACCAGCCCTCTTTGACAAATGTCAATGCTTCTGGAAAGGACGGGGAAAGTAGAACGGTAACCTGTGAGGGCCAAGTACCAATCATAGGATCTGAAGTTAGAGGCCCCCATGACCACTGAGTACCAGTTTTTCATTTCGCAAGAAAGGGTTCTACAGAGGTGAAGCCACCTGCCTGAGGTCACGCAGCTTCTCTTGGCAGCATTTGGCTACATCCGATCTCCTGGCCCTCATGCTGCCCTGGAACTGTGCAAGTCCCTCCGGAAGAATCTCTTCGCTTCCCATCATGTACCAGAAAAGTCTGGTGAGAGGGGCTGAAAGTCACTGAGTGGATGGCCCAACCCCCGCTCCTGTGTCCTGACGGTTCCTCCCCAAAACCTTGTGCCACCTCCTGCCACCTCCTCAGACCTTTCCTTGGGACTCTGGGGGCATCAGAAGGATGGGAAAGCAGGAGGTAAAGGGCACAGGGCTGCCCTAGGGACCCCACCACCACCTCACTGGGAGCTCCGTGTGTCTGCCAACACCTCAGAGGAAAGGAAATGTCCTCTCTGGGGAGGAGAAATCAATGCAGACTCACTTGGACTGCATGTGGTGAGAGGGAAAGTGGACGGGGGACCTACAGCCACACAACCACTTCCTACCTATGGGGACCTGAGGAGTCCAGGTGGATGACACTCATGGGGCCACCTGCAGGAAGGAATAGCCCTCAGAAGAGGGGCCCAGAATATTCCTGTCGGAGGTTCCGCAACCGGCCCAAGATGCGCCCACCCGTAGGAAGGTAGACATGGCAAGCCCTGTGTGGCTCAAAGAGCAAGGAGTTCAGCTGCTGAGGCCAGCAGACCCCCAAGAAGGGTGCAGAGCCCCAGGGTATAGGAAGAAGCCGGCACACTCCTGCTGAGATGGCCTCCACCCTGCCCTTTACCTGACAGGGGTACCCCATATGCCTGGCCACACACAGCACATGCCACGGTGCACCCCCACCCCAGATCCACCCAGTGGCCTCACCCAGATGCCTGGCATCTCCACAGTCTCTGCCTGAGCCCTGCTCCCGGGGGTGTGCAAGCCCATCCTAGCATGATGACCTCAGTGACCTCCATTCCACCCACTGAACTTACACCCTGTCCTAGGAAACTCCTGGGGGTGGGTCCCCAGCCTTTGCTGTCCAGTGGAGTCAAACCACAGAAGAGCCTAGGGAGCCGCTTTCACAATAAAAACATGAATAAGGAGCTTCCGGCATGCCCACACTAAGCACGCTTGAGACACTTCCACTCAGTCCCATCCTCTTCACTGCTCTGTGGGTAGGCGTGACCGCTCCCCTCCTGTACTAACGAGAAGCGAAACAAGGCACAGAGACATTAAGTAACTTGCCCCAGATGACTTAACGTCACGCAGCTGGGAAGCAGCAGATCCAGGCTCCAGAGCCCAAGTGCTTTTCCACCGCGAACACTGTCTGCAAAACGACACGTGTTATTGCAACCATCTCCCTCCTCGCTAAGGGCTGCCGTTCCACTTTTCGAAGGAGCAGTCCTCGCTGCCACGGCTGGCCTTCCCAACTGCAACTAGCTCCTAGCCACACAGCACAGCACCAGCCAGGACCACTGACTAAGAGGGTCCCCAGGGGGCAGTTTGGAGGAGCCCGGAGTCTCTAGGTCCACTCGAAGCTGCCGTTCCTACAGCAGACTGGACCAATGGGAAATTCCAGGCCCGGGCACTGAAGCCAGACCCAGGATATCAGATCCCGGAAATGGACCCATAGGAGACACCTGTGCTCTTCACTGCGAAGGATCCAGAGTCCCTGAATGTCAGTGTCACGTGGCTTCGAACCTCCATGGGGCCCTAGTGACAGCACTGTATAAATACTGGTGGGGGAAACGGCAGAGAAGGAGACAGGCCCCCAGCAATGGGATCTCCTCAGGGCAGCGAAAGAGACCTGGATACCATGTCAGGACCCTGGGCCCAAGCCTGAGTCCTGCCACCAGCTCACTGTGTACCTCGGCCGCCATCCCACACTCCATGCCTCAGATTTCCCAGCCCGTGTGGGGTGAACCCAAGCCATCTCCAGGACCTTTGCATTTCAGACTCTAGGAGCCCAGCAGCCACCTCTTCAGCGGCCACCTGCCTGCTACAGCCCACCCTCCTTCCTCCACTGCCACTCCAGGCCAAGGCCTTGAGCCAGCGCCACGAGCTCAGCCTCGCTCAGCCTCTGGTAAAGGGAGAACATGGAGCCAAGGTCTGGGTGAGTCACACCCACCCACAGGGGCCAAGGGAAGCCAAGAATGGGAAGGAAAGCTGAACCCACGCAGATCTCTACTGCCCTTCTTTCCTTCCCTGGCCAGGGCCCAAGCCCACTATTAAGTGTTATTATAGAGCAAGGAGGAGGTTCTTGCAACCTCCCCAGGGGCCCCATTCAACCCCGGCTGTGAATAATTAACTCTCAGGTAGACCCTGTCACTCACAGGGACAGGACCTGCTGTTCAAAGGCCTCCTGTCTTGCCCTCGTCAATACCACTGGGCTCATAGCTCTCCAATTCAAGGCACAGGTGCATGCGGATGTCCAGGGGAGAAGAGGCAGGCTTCAGTGAGAGGGGGTGGATTGGGGTGCTGCTCTGGACAGAGCCCTAGTGACATTCTCCTAGCCTGGAGGCAGCCAGAAGAGGGACCTCAGATTTTTACAGTGCGACCTTTCTCTAAGGCACACAGTGGGTGCTTAACTGATGGTCACTGAATAAATGAATGAAAACATCGTCTCAAAGCCTGGAACCAAAAACAGTGATCTTCACCAAGACACTCCCAGGTCAAAAAGGGCCTTGAAGACCCCCCTCAGCAATTGCAGAGAAAAGCACAGAGCAGCTCATTCCTGTCTCAAAATGAGAAACATCCCCACTCCTCCAGACTTCCATCAGTGGAGTCCTGCAGCGCGCCGCCCTGGCAATGCCACGGGGCACCACAGAGGCGGGTGGGCTGTTTGTGCTAAAGGACCAGGTGGCTCATGGTCCTTTCAGCAACAGTTCTGTCCCTTCCAGTGCACTCTGCAGCCCAAGCAAATTCACCCCAGCCAGCTGCCCACTGTCCTCTAGGATGACACTGAAGGCTGCCGGGAAGAAAGCAAAACTACCCGGCTCAGGAGCCAGAAGCCCTCACTGTACAGAGCCAGACTCTGAGGAAACAACTATCCAGGCTCCCCTGTGGAGCAAAGCGCAGGTGTGTTAGGACAGTGTTCCCCTCTCTGCTTATTGCAGCTCCAGGAATCAAGGTTGCCAGGGAGAAGTGCGGCCTGCTGCATAAGGAATTACTGTTATTAATGGCAGTACCGCTAATAATAATTGTACATACTTCTTATTCCTATATTCTCAGAATATTTGAGCCATCTTAGTGCCTGCTCAGGGACCCCTCCCTCCGCAGCCTCCAGACCTGCAGCTGGAATCCTCCCCCACCCTTCCAGCACCCTGGAGAGACTTTCTCTCTGATCTAAGCCTAATCCCTTACCTGGCTCTGGACCCACCTGCTGTGCTGCCCCAGGGCCACTGACTACAGAGGACACTGCTGTCTTCTTCCCCTCCACATCTCCACCACCACCACCCCACCCCAGAATTTAAATTGTTCCACCTCTTCTCATCTTTAAAAAAGAAAATCTATCATGCTTTGTTCTCTCCTCTTCACACTAAGATCCTGGAAAAAGTTGTCTGCATTTATCATTTCCAACCTCCCAGCTCCCATCCACTCCCTAATCAGGTCCCTGCCCCTAGCAGCCACCTAAGAAGCTCACCTCAAGGACACCAGAGACACTGCCATCGCTCTCCTGCTTGAGCAGAATTGTGTGCCTCTGCTAGGAAAAAGCCCCTCCCTGTTTACGCCCCATATTCCTCCAACCTCTCCCCTGGGGCCTCCTCAATCACCCTTTCCCCTCTCCCATCCTTTATTGTCAGTGACCCCAGGGGCTGTGTCACTGTCCTCCTCCTGCCATTGTAATGGCATCTGCTCCCCTGGCTCTGGTTACCACCCACAGCCTCATGTCCACTTCCGAATCTCTCTCTGCAAGTCCACTTCCTCCCCCGAGCTCCAGACAGGTAAGTCTGCGAAGTGTGGCCAATGACCACAGGCACATGCCCCCAAATAACCCATCATGCCTTGCCCTTCTTCCCCAAATCCCTGAGCACTGCTTCTGAGCAGTGTCATCTCCCACTCAGTTCCCCAAGACAGGAACCGGGGTGCACCCCGACTCCTCTCTTCTCTCCCTCTCTCATGAGCCATCAGTCACCAAGGCCTGCCGACTTGGCCTTCTATAAAGTTCTTAGGTCTGCCCTGCCCTTTCTTGCCACTGTCTAGTTCTGGCCACCGTTACTCCTGATCTGGATCCCAACAGTGGCTTCTGAACAGACCTTAATTACAAGCAGTTCGCTTCACTGGCTTTCTCTTCTGAAACACAGATCTGATCGACTCCCTCAACCCCTTTCAGGGCTGCCTGCCCTGCTGCCCACAGATCTCCCTGTCCCCAACTTCTCCCCTCCCCGCCTTCCCACTCCACTCTCTACCTTTCGGCAGTTCTACAGGAGGGTTCAACTCTCACCTGGGGGCCAGGCCTTGCTGCTCTCTCCACCAGCCCACCCCACTCTTCCTGCATCCTTCACTTTGGCAACGAACTCATCTTCCGATTTTCTGACAGACTCCTCCAGGAAGGCTCTTTGGATTTCCTAGCAGTAGTTAGATGTCCCCCTGAGATGCAACCACTGCACCCTGTGCCTTCCCATCATGGCACCCATGCTGTCAAAATGCAGAAGTCCCCTTTCTTACTGCACCAGCCCCAGACTCCGAGCTCCATGACAGCTTGTTCTCAACTGCTCCTGCAACACCCAGCAGGCAGTCTACTCAGTGAACATCTGTTGAATTAATGAATACCCAGGCAAGATGACCAACCTCCGGAAGCATGAGCAAATCCACACCCAGTCTGGAGCGGGTCGGGGGGTGTCGAGTATTACTGGGGCGGGGAGGCCCCAGGTTCAGGCTGTACCTAAGCAGTGCAGAAGATACCTAGGCCAGGCACAGTGCCTGGAAGCCTCATGACGTCATGACACACAAGGGGCGGGCCTTCCGGAGCAAGGCTCTCTCCGGGCCGCAGGCTTGGCATGCCCAAGCCACCCCTCCTCTCTCCTCCATCTCACTGATCCGGCTTCCTGATGCCTTTGTCTCGCCCTCTCATGGAGAAGGGTCCCCTCCACATGGTCCTGATTGAACATCTGTTCCACCCCTCTGTGTCGCCTCCTCCTCGTCCAGCTTTGGTTCTTCTTTACCTACCACCTCCAGCTGTCACCGCTGCTACCTCAGGCAGGTGGTTCCTTCCTCTGGGTTCTAGGTTCCCCCCGGAAATGGACAGTTCACCCACTACCCAGGGCTCCACCTGGGGGTCCGGCCCCTTCAGCCCTCCCGCTGCCCACCCCACTCCAGCGTGCGCTTACCCTCTGTCAGCCCAAGATGGATGCTCCAGTAGATCTGCAGGCACTGCAGCTCCTTCTTCATGCCCCGCTTGCAGCGGCAGTCGTAGAGCGGGCTCTCCTGCAGGACCTCCAGGGCCGCCTGGCACTCCTTGTTGGCCAGCATGGTGTTGCGGTCCCGGCCCGCCAGGCACTGCCGCAGCGTGCGGTAGCGCGAGCTGCAGTTGGACTCCGCCGCGCACAGCTCATTGGCCCGGACACAGTCCACTGGGGGGCGCCAGCCGTGGAGCTCGGGGCCCTGCAGGGAGGAAGGGCTGGCCAAAGAGCGGAGGGTCTCGTCTGGGTGGTGGGGAGGGAAGACAAGCATGAATGAGGGCTCCACCATCTCCGCCCCAAGATACAGGCCTGGGGCTCGGGCCCTCCTGGTAACATCACTCCCATCTTGCACCGACGCGCACCCAGGTGACTCAGAGAACATATAATCTCCTGGGACCCCAGGGGCTGCCATGCTCCCCACCCCCCAGCTTGCACTGTTCCTCCTTGGTAAGGGCCTAGGAGCCCAGCACAATGAAGCCAGGGAAGCCCTCTCTGGAGACCAGTCAGTCTAGGACCGAGGCAGCCCACACTCCACGTCACGACCTCCACAAGAGCTGGGGCCCTCGGCCTTGCTGGGGGTGCAAAGCAGGGAGCTCCCTTCTACTCTACCCAGCACCCCCACCAATCTCTGCCCTCTGCTCCAGCCAGAGAACCCCTCTACCATGCCCTGAAGGCACCAGAAAGTCATTTAACCTTCAGAGCCTACGGCCTAGGGAAACTGAGACCCTCAGAAGACAGATGACAACCCCAGGTCACATACAGAAGTAGAAGAAGCCCCTCTGAGCTCTGTCTTCTCAGTCTGGGTTGCTAGACTTTCCAAGAAGACAGTGAAAGATAAGCCCAGCCCCGACCGCACACCACATGGAGGCTGGAAACCTGCTGGGTCAAGTTCCACCCCACCCGCCTCTACAGAAACCCACTGGTGTGCGAGTGACCCACTCCACCTCACTCTGCCCCCCTCCCCTCTTGAACCATCTCCTGCTCCACCCCTTGGCTTCTCTTGCTTCCTGCCTCCCAAGGTGCACACCTGTTATCTCAGCACTTGAGAGGCTGAGGCAGGAAGACTGTAAGTTCAAGTCCTGCCTGCGAAACTTATGAGACTGTCTAAAAATAAAGAAGGCTGGGGAATGTAGCTCAGTGCAAAGGTCGTGGGTTCAATCCCCAGGAATGCAAAAAAAAAAAAATCCAGTAAATAAACAAAAAACAGGGCTCTGCTCTCAACAGACCTTATTACTTCTCCGGGTGGCCTGGCCTCTTCTCCTCTCGTCTGCTTTCTTTCCTCTTCTCCCCTGAAACCCTCTCCCCTTCTATATTGTTATTCCTTCCAAAAACCAAATAATAAAACTATAACAAAAGGGAAAGCACCTCCCTCCCACAGGAAGCCTTGCAGATGCAGCCTCACTTCTGCAGAACTGAACCAGCACCCATCAGCCCACCCTCCTCCTCAGCTGCCAGGGGCCCCAGGAGGGAGGGGATGGGGAGGAAGATTCAGAGGCGAAGGGCAAGGAGAGGCTGGCCTGACCCTTTCCAAAGCCACTTTTCCAAAATGGTTTCCTCCACATGTGCAAATCTTCCTCCCATCTTCCTGTTCTTCCTAAGCCCCTAACTGCAGACCCAGCCCCAGAAAGGCCCCACCCCACAGCCACAGCTAAGACTGCCTTTTCCAAGCCCCACCAGACGACTTGGAAGGCTTCCTCCAGCCCCAAAACATAATAAAATCCTAGGCCATTAGCCCCCTCCTCTGAATACCGCAGAACGCCTGGGTGCCTGCCCAGAGCACCAACCTCACGCCTTCTCCCTAGGAGGCCGGCTCAGGGGGGGAGCTATCACAGGGGGACAGCGACACCTAGGGGCAGAGCCCTGCACGGCCAGCAGGTCGCTCCCCAGAATCCCTAGAGAAAAGGAATCGCTAGCAGAGGAACTCAGGGCAGCAGGCCCACCCTGACCGAGACCTGGAAGAAGAGAGCAGAGGGTGGGCCCGAGTGGAAGAGGCTGCAGGGGCTAGGGCCAAAGCTTTCTTCTGCACTGACCACGCCTCCCCCTGAACAGGAAACGCTGGAGGATGTGGCTACACTGAGAGAAGACCAGAGCAGAAACCAGCTCCGAGAGGGAGGCACGGGCCGTGGGATCTGCCCAAGCACCAGCGGGAAAGACACATCCTCCACACAAGCTGAGGTGGCAGCTTTCTTTCTCAGCTTCAGCAGATTCCTCCATCCCCAGTCAGAACTGAGCACCGGAGGGCCGCGCAGGAGCAGCTGAGCCGACATCCCCACCTGCACCTGCTGCCTTCCCTTCCCCAGCCAGCCAGCCCTGGGATCTCCATGGACAGGGCCAGTGGTTCTCCTCCTGCCTGACTGTCCATGGGGCTAAGGCTGGGACATCCTCACGTCCTGAGATTTCCCTAGCCTCAGGATTCACAGCAGGCTTCCAGTTGGGATGTGACCTCAGGGGCAATGCCAGTCCAGAAGGTGGGGCCTAGACCCCCAAGCGGTGATCCTTACATGACCCTGGATAGGCTCCCATGCCTAAAGCAAAGTCTTCCACTTTCCTGTTAACTGGCACCTATGATGGGGCAGGGGCGTGCCCTACAACGAGCTGGGGCACCCTTTGCCAGCTGTCTCTGACTTTTGGAACCAATCCAGCCCAGTAAGAGAAGGGAATCAAAGCAATGCGAAGTCTTTAACCAAGAATCCTGGGAAAGGAGAGGGCAAACGGTGTCCTGGAGTTATTCCCCAACCCTACATGGGAGAAAAGTTGGATCCACCAAGAAGAAACATGTGGAGCAGCTACTAGAGATATGGGGGCACCAAGAGACAATACGGAACTCTGCCTGCCTTTATGCATCCAATGCCCCCCATAGAATCAAAATGTATGCTAGACTGTCATTGAGAAGTGGGCCCTCTGACCAGCTCCGACTCAAGTCACTGTCCCCAAGGCATTCTCTCCCTGGATGCCAATATTGGAGGTCAGGGTGGCTGGGCAAAACGATCTGTCTCTCCACCACAGTCCTGTGACCCCAGATCCCACTTGGCCCCTGAGGAAGAGACCCAAAGGCCTTTGCTCCTGGGTTCACCCATCACCATGTCCCCAGCTGAAATTGCCTACTGTCTTCAGCTCCCAAAGCCTCTGCCCTGAGTGGGATTTCCAACCAACCCCCAATTATGGGCTCCTAGCTAACAAAAGGGCCCTAGGGCTAAAGTTTCCTTAACCCCACCCACCCATCCTACTGGTTCCCTTCGGTCACCCAGGTCACCCTTCTAAGCCTTCAGCCCAGTTCAGAAGGGGCCTTGTCAAAGAATGGGAACTGAAGGTCTGTGACCCAAGGGGACGCTGACCTCCTCTCCTGTCCAACTCTTGCCCCCTCCCCTCTTGCCACACAACCCTCAGGTCACAGACACTGGTGGGCATTTCTGCTCCTACCCCATCCAAACACACACACACACACACACACACACACACACACACACTGTGAACAAGAGCACCAGTGCCACTTCTGGGAGCCAGAGCAGAGTTGATGCCTCAGCCTCCTGCAGTATGGGGGTCCAGGCAGGGCAGGAATGCTTTCCTCCAGCCCCTGGCCTGGCAAGTCACCCACACCTGGGATCCCTGCTGGCTTGGAGAGTGTGTAGCTTAGCAGCAAAGCAATCTGGCTGCTTTGCCTGAAATACAATTTTCTTTTCTTCTTGGCCTTGATCATTCTAAGCCCCACAAAGCTGTTTTCAAAGCAGCGATGGGAGAAAAGGTCAGGTTTTATAACAGCTCCTTCAGAATGAGAGTCCACTTCCAGGTGGCTGCAGGATGGGCTGCAAGGCCACCGCGGGCCCATTGCACTGTCCAGCTTCCTCTCTCTGCCCCTCCCACTCCACAGAGTTGCCCCTGCTGAGGGAGGCAGGGTGGTGAAGGCCACACCCCAGGGCAGGGCCTTGTCCTTAAAGAACCTGGGGGAGGTGGGTAGGAGGGCAGGCAAAAAGTCCAGGACCCAGCCAACACTGACTCCCAGGACCCCCCAATCCCCCGTCCCAGTCTGGAGGGCACTTCTTAGACCACCGACATCTTTCTGTGACCAGCATCTACCTCCCATCAGGGCCTTCCCGGAGCCCCTTCCACAAGAGGAGAGGGGTGCGCTCACGACCCCCTCTTCCCAGGGAGGCTGGCTCAACGGGGCTACACAGCCAGCCAGGGTAGCTGGAAGGGCGCCGCTGAAGCAGCCGAGTGCGCCTTCCCCACACACTCAGGCACAGAGTTCCGGAGCTCGCCCTCGGGAGGGCGTTACTCCAGGCAGTAGCTTGCCCAGGACTGCCGGCCAGCACCCGGCCTTGCAAACACCCTCTTCTCTTCCCTCGCACCCGGATACTGCTTTCTCCAGAGCCATTTCGAAGCAGCTGAGATCTCACATAGCACAGCAGGGGGCGAGGGTCGTGGGAATGAATGTGCTGGGGGTCAGGGGCATCAAGCAGTCCCTCTTCCCTACCCTGGAGGGAGGGGGCTCACAGAATGAGCAGTGGTCTTCGTCCGGGTCCCCTTTTCTCCTTCACCCCTCACCTTCCTCACCCAGAGAAACAAACTTTGGCCTCCTCCACCGGCTCCCGGGCCTCCAGAGGTGGGTGACGCACAGGCAGCCCTGAGCCGCCGCTCCCAGCCAGGCGCCCCCACCCCAGCACCCATCGGGGTCAGGTCTGGCTGGACCTGAGGGGCAAGGGTGGGGAGAAACTTGCAAAGTGTTCCAAGGAGGAAGTGGGGTGCGTTTTCCAGAGGTTGATTGGCAGGTGGGGGGTTCCTGCTGGGGCTTCCCGCGGACGACCAACCTGCAGCTCCTGCACAAACCCTGGCCCTCTGTTTCGATCGACTCCGGGCACCGATCGGGAAGGGTGGGACAGACAAAATATTTCCCTCCCCGCCTCAGCTTCTCCCCTCCCTCCTCTCTTCCAGATAGAGTTGGGCTTTTCATTTTTCTTTAAGTTGCTGCAATTCGAACCCATTATTTCGAGGGAACTGAGTGCCACCACAGCGTGTGCGAGCGTGTGTGTGTGTGTGTGTGTGTGTGTGCGTGTGCGTGCGTGTGTGTGGTGTGTGTGAATGTCGGAAGGCTCCTTCCTAATCTCCCCCTGTGCAGCCCGCCAGCAGCAGTTCTGGTTCCTCCGCCCGCGTCCGCGCAGCCCGGCCCGCTCGTTTCGCCAGAGCCCGAGTC